TTACTTGGATGTGAGGGGTGGAGTGAGGGGGAGCAAGGAGAAGGTGGAGCACAGGGTAGGGAATAGACACAGGATAGTTTGGGTGCTGGGGAGGAAGGCAATACACAAGAAGGGAGAGGGAAATGGAAGAACAAGGCAGATGGGAATACAGTTAGGGAGTTTTGCATGGGCTTAGTGGAACAGAGGTAAATAATGATGTGTGCACCTTGGAAAAACAAGGTTATGGGATACAGGGATTGAGACATGGTTGGAATGGGCAAAAGGGAGAGATAATGTTAAGATGCTTGGCTGTCTTTTGAATCTTGGTTCCCTGGCACACCATTATAAAATAGACACTTGAGGGAGAGAGAAAGGAATAGCCAGAAATATCACCATAGAAAGCTTGTATGTGCCATGGAGTCGGTTCCGACTCATAGCGAACCTGTACAGGGTTTCCAAGGCTGTAAATCGTTATGGGAGCAGAAAGCCTCATCTTTCTCCTGCAGAACAGTTGGTAGTTTCGAACTGCTGACCTTAAGGTTTGCAGCCCGATTTGTAACCACTACGCTACCAGAGCTCCTTAAGACTGAGGTTAGGAGAGATTGTAAATGCAGTTCATCATAACTCAAATATGTCTTAAGTTGAAGACTACCAGTATTTCATTTTCTTTTGGCTTCCATTCCTGTTGGGGTGTCTACCTTGAGTTTAAATTTTATTTCTAAATATTGGTTCCTTTTGATTTAACTAGCTTGGCATTCTTTGTCTTTTGGTAATTTTTGGGTGTAAAGAATTATTTAATATGTCTCTCCTAACCTCAGTCTTAAATAAATATATTTAGAAATAAAATTTAAACTCAAGGTAGATACCCCAACAGCAATGGAAGCCAAAAGAAAATGAAATACCTGTAGTCTTCAACTTACGACATATTTGAGTTATGATGAACTGCACTTACAATCATTCGGGATTTTTTTGTACATCTTATCGTTGCTGTTGTTAAGTGCCGTTGAGTCTATTTCAGTGCCTATAGCAACCCAGTATAGGATTTTCAAGGAGCAGCTGGTGAGTGTGAACCACCTACCTATCTATGTAGTTCAGACCAACCTTGCAGTCCTGTGCTTATCCTATAGTGCCACACCAGGACTCCCATTATATATAAACACACACACACACACACACATATCTATACATATACATATAGTGTTAAATATATCTGTAAGTTTATATGTAATATTTCAGCCTCCAAGACAAAAATTGAATTTATAAAAATATTGATAAGGAAGTCAATTAAAAAAAAAAAGTTATTCAAGTTACATCAAAACTGATTTATGGCAAAGTCAGATTGGAACCAATTGCAAGTCAGGGACTACCTGTCATATCTTTAGAGAAAAGTAATTATCAACCAATAGTATTTTTTATGAAACAAAGATATTACTATATTAAAACAGTTTACCCCTAACAAAGTGTCACTAAAGAACTGACCCAAGCAATGGTAGTTTCAATTACGTTTCATGGCTGCAACAACTGGACATTGACTATGGAAGGAAGTACTAAGTAGGATAATGCCTTTGAATTGTGGTGTTAGCAAATGATACTGAATATGCCATGGACCTTCAGTAGACTAAACAGGTATTATCTTAGAAGAAGTATAATCAGAATGCTCCTGATGAATGTGCTTTGGACATGTTCATCAGGAAGGACCATAGAGAAGAACATCATGCTTGGTAAACAAGAGGGTCAGCGAAAAAGAAGAATACTCTCAGGGAGATGAATGAACACTGTGGCTGCAACAATAGACTGAGACGTAGCAGGGATTGTGAGGATGGCACTGAACCAGGCAGCATTTCATTGTTGGACATCACTGTGAATCAGAACTTACTTGACCGCACTTAATGTTTTAAGGATGGACTTCAAGAAGTAGTTGAAATTGGCCCCCATGAATGATCTGAGCTAGAGGAAGAAGTAATGAACACAAGGAATAATAAATATGTGGGTAAATCTGAAAGTATAATAATGGTTTATAGAAATGTATTGATGTATATTTCAAGGCTTTGAACCAATTCTTCCTAATTCATTGTGGCCAATTAAATGAAATCTGGACAGACTTGAATATGTAAAATGTGGGTGTATTGAAATAATAACTGAAACTAGAAAAATTATGAGTCAGTGCTCTGCCAGAAGCTTACTCTGCCTCCTAGAAGACACAGGCAGCATGTGTGTTGCATAGCAATCAAATGTCTTCATAGGCAGAATCAGAAGCAATGGTGCCCAGGTCAAAGATGGTGGCCAATTTTGTCACTTCAGTTGTGGTTCATTCTACAAAGTCCTGACAATAATCCAATTTCCTGAAAGATATTACTACACCCCATTCCAGGAGTTCTAGCTATCATTTCAGTGCATGCGCATTTAAAAAATTTAGATAGATGTCACTCTTGACTGAACTGGTTTGAACTGGTTCAAAGCCTTGGTATATATCAGTATAAAAGAAGGTTAAATAGACACCAGTATCATGTAAGGTGGAGATCTGGTGTGGCGCTGTGGGTTAATGGCTGGACTACAAAGTTGGTTTGAACCGCAAGGTCAGTGGTTCAAGTTCACCAGCCACTCCTCAGAAACAGGGTCACTATGAGTCAGAACTAACTTGATGTCAGTTAACAACATTAACAATAGTTGACTGAAAATAGAAAAATTAAAGCTCTATTCCCTCAGGTGATTCACAGTCTGGTGAAAGAGGTGTTTAGACACCGCTCCCCTAAAAATAAGTTATAGTATTGCAAGATCTGCAGCAAAAGTGTGCACAAGTTTCTCTGAAAGTTGATGACAGTTATAGGAGTAATCTGGTTGAGTGGATTTGGGGGAGATGCTGAGAGTGGTCAGATCTGCAATTTCGGTGAAATTGTGTCTATTCTAAGACTTTGATATCATGTCAAGACTCTGATACATGAACCTTTCCAGTTTCTGTGGAATGAATATGCATTAAGTCATCTCAACTAGAGGGCAGTGAGTGTGGTGGTCCCATAGGATCAGCGCTGTGCTGAGAACTGCAAGGTCAGCAGTTTGAGCTCACCAGAAAGATTTAAAGCCTCTGGAACCCTATATATAGTCACCGAGTAGGAACCAAATTAAAGGCACTTTAACAACAACACTGGGATGGCACTTAACAGCTGGACTCTTGGTGTGGTGCTTGTAGGGTCAGAACTGGAATGCTAACCACAAGGTCAACAGTTCAAATCCACCAGCTGCACCTCAGAAGCCTATATGGGGTCACAATGAATCAGAACCCACTCAACAGCACTTAGTAAAAACTAGAGGTCAGACTTGAGAGCCTCTACCTTGTACAAGTCCCACTTTCTTGTCTTACTGGTTTTGTGACCGTTAGCTTCTATACTTAGCTTCTCTGGGCTTACGTTTTATAAAAAAAAAAAATCTACATCACAGATTTATTGTAAGGATTAAGTGAAATAATACATGAAAAACATTTTAGAATACTGCCTCACATACACAATTGTTGTTGTTAAGTGCCATGGAGTTGGTTCTGACTCATAGCGACCCTATACAGGGTTTCCAAGGCTGTAAATCTTTATGGGAGCAGTAAGCCTCATCTTTCTCCCGTGGAACAGCTGGTAGTTTTTAACTGCTGACCTTGAGGTTCACAGCCCAATTCGTAACCAGTTGTTACTTTTAATGCCTGATATACCAGGCACATTGAAATGTACCCACCATGTTGGTCATGTAGATTCTCTTTCTAAACTGCCAATTGTTCTCCAATAAAATTTTCCTCTTTTTTTTCCCTCCCCCCCTTTCTAGCTCCAAGAGGAAAGCGAGGGTGGAAAACCTTTTATGCTGTGCTGAAGGGAACAGTTCTTTACTTGCAAAAGGTAAAATAAGTAAATAAAAATAAAGCACACAGAAATGTATAAAACAGTAATTAGATGAGGTACTCAGAGGAATATTTATTATATGCAGAGACTACATCAAACACCCAAGAGATAGTGTAATTGATGATAAAACTCTTTTGTTTAGAATTTTTTCTGTTGCTGTGGTGGTGAAAAATTTATCTTTGGACAAATGTGATCAAGGAAACAGCTGGTTGTGTTCTACCTAGGTCCATATTTTTTATTTAATATAAATGGTAAACTTCATGTGGTCTATACAGATTTAAGCCAGTGCCAGTCCGTTTTCAGTGGAGGCTCTGTACTATGTATTATTTAGTTATAACCTTTATTCATAAGAGGGGGCTTCAGAAAGTTCATGGAAAAATTCCATTATCTTTTCATCCCATTTTTGCCTTGAACTTTTTGAAGCCCCCTTATGTTATTTAACTGTCTTCATTTCGATCTTACCTAAAAATAAACTCATGCATTTTCATTCAAGTTCTGAAAGTTTTGTACTTAAAATTACAAATTAATTCCAAATGATTGAAATAAATTTTGATCACAGCATTCCCAGTCCCTCTTTTCCAATCTTGGAACCTGAAAATCTGTTGAGGATTCTGTTTATAGATTCTGACCCTTCTCAGAGTGGTCCCTGGAGCCCTGCTGCCAGGGGATAGCGGTGTGTTGGATAGAATGAAGTACACAGGACACTACTTTGCAGTGGCTGCAGGGTTCTAGCTCCCTCTGTGAAAGAAGAACATAGAATTGATGATGATAGTAATAACACTACCTTCAGCATTCATTAAAAGGAAATGTTTTAAAAGTATATTTGGAGTCATACTGCAATAAAGTTTTGGCCTCTTACTCTTTTCACTCGACTTACCTAGTCCTATTGTGGCACTGTGGGTGATGCACTGGACTGCAAGGTCAGTTTGAACTACAAGGTCCCAATTCGAACTTAGGAGACCCTCTCCTTAGAAATCCTATACAGGGTCGCTATGGGTTGGAACAGACTCAATGGCACTTCACAACAACAACAGCATTACCTAAACTCTTTCTCATGTAAACTGAAAATTTCCAGGAGCATTTTTTTTTTTTTTT